CCAGTAGCCCTAATGCACATTTTTTAAAAATAAAATTTTTCTTGAAGTATAACATACCTAGAGAAAAATGTAAACATTTTAAGTGTAGCTTGATGAATTTTCTTTTCTTTTCTTTTTTTCTTTTTTTGAGACGGAGTTTCGCTCATTGCCCAGGCTGGAGTGCAATGGCACGATCTTGGCTCACTGCAACCTCAGCCTCCTGGGTTCTAACGATTCTCCTGCCTCACCTCTCAAGTAGCTGGGATTACAGGCACCCGCCACCACACCCAGCTAATTTTTGTATTTTTAAAAATATAGATGGGGTTTCACCATGTTGGCCAGGCTGGTTGCAAACTCCTGACCTCAGGTGATCCACCCACCTCGGCCTCCCAGAGTGCTGGGATTACAGACTACCATGCAACATCTGCTACTCTAAAGCCTGGGCTTTTTCTGCTAGACCAGGATGCCTTTGGTAATACCAAGTTGCCCAACTTCTGCTCAGAACAAGCTGAGCTTGAAATACCGGGCTGAACAGGAAATAAAAGAGTAAAGTCAAAAGCCCAGGCTTTTTTTCTTCTTCTTCTCAATTTCCTTCTAACCAATGAAAAATGATTTCAAAGGTGAAAGTACTGCCTTTAAAGACGCACTTGGCCTTCAAGAGGCGTGGCAGCCTTGTAGGTTTTCTCAAGTAGGAGTTATTATCTAACCACAAACCAACCGTCTGTCATTACACTGCACTTTAGAGGATGTCTATGATTGGCTGGCAAAGAGAGCAACATTTGAATTTAAAGAAAAGACCAAAACAACTAAGTGTCATTACTTCAGTGAGAAAGATAAAGTTTCCTTGTCAGAGAAAACTCCAACTGGAGTCAGAGATTAGGCACCAAAACCCTGCCTTAAGGTAAAACCTTTTGTCATCATCTCAGTAACTGGTGTTATTACTGTTAATTTCATCAGGAAATCAGCCCCTATTTTAAGTAAAACTCAGTGAAAAAGATACGTAAAAACCATGTGAAGGTGCTTTGTAAACTGCAAATGATTACAAAATGCTAGTAAATACCAATATTTAAGGCTTCAATTAAAAACAATCTCTAGAAAGCAAAATTTGTCTGTCTATAAAGGGAAAGCAGAAGAGTCAGAAGCTACAATTCTTTTTTTTCCCCCATTTTTGGGGTTTTATTTTTGAAGCCACAATTCTTGATGCCTACTTTCACTAGGTCACATGTAGAGTTGTTTTCTGTCTTCCATATTCCCCTCTGCTGTTCCACTAGACCACTAAATAGACTGTATCTTCAGGCATAAATGATAAACATAAAAAAGTAGGCCCGACTTTTTAATAGAAAATTAAACCATGGTCTCAAGTTATAGACTGAAAAATTGCATCCCCTCATTTATTTAATATATACTATGCTTAGCCTGAGCTGCATCCTCAGCTTAATAAAACAGAAGGATAAATGAATAAAAAATGTCATCTCTGGCAATATGAGTTCTTCTTGTATGCAAAGCAAATACAGCAAGACAGCATTAAAATTTTAGAGAACTTGAAATGCTGAAACTTCTATAATTCAATCATCTTTTCCTTGGCAATCAATTCTATTTCAGAAAGAATCATTTAATAGGTTAAGTCTGAAAAATACATTGTTTCAGATTTTATACCTTCTATTTCGTGCTCATGAAGTAAAGTACTACAGAACTACTCAGAGCCACTAAAGCAGCAATGTAGAATTTTCATGGTTTTTTTGTTGAAACTCACTTTATTTAAAAAAAAAGTCATGAACAATAAATTACAATCATTTCCCCCTTTTATAAATTCTTCATAAAATATATTTGACAATTTTAACAGAAAATTTCAAAAGTTGCTTTCATTTCTTAAGTGCTGATGACTTATTTTTTGACCATTTTGTCATGCTGGTGAATTATTTTGTAGCTGCTACAATAGTTTGATTGATAACAATTTACAATTAAAAACAACAACAACGAAGAGAAAAAACAGACCAGCAGAAAGAACTATTCTGTGTGCTATTTATGTGACACTTAACACTTACTTCATCATAATGACAAAGTATCCCTTAGCACCAAAAAATCTACAGGAACCCCATCTTTCTAAGTGACAACTAGTGCAAAATAACATTCTAGGAACTAACTGTACAACCCCATATTTTAACTGGCCACAGTTGCCTATAAGCTCATTTGAAATATTTGGTCTTTTTTCAATTAAGACAAATTTCAAAAAACACCATAAACCATGGCAAGAGACTCTATGAGGAACAATTGCTTATTGAGTACCTATTATGGGCAAGGCACTGTGCACAAAGTTTTGCTTTCATTTTTCCTCTAGCAAATATCCAGGTATTTCCAAATATCACTAATCATCTTTTCTTACTCCTGACTGGAAAAGGCCTTTGGCTAAATGCCATTTTTTAATTGTCATTTTATCAACAAACCTTTAGTGCTGAGCACACAGTAGGTACTTAATAAATACCTCTGACTGAAAGAACAAAGACAAAGAATTTACTATCATTTTGCTTGGCTATTTTAGAATACAAGGACTTGAGAAAATTCCAGAAGAAACTTCCTGATTACCTCATACCCTTACCCCCAATCAAAGAATTACACTTCACACGTAAAATCTTTCCAAGTAAATGATAATCATTAACTATTTTACATGAGGCAGGACCAAAAACTATGCGCTTAGGAAACTGTGGCTCCAAGCACATAGATATTTGAAGAGCAAATGATGCATGGGCATACCATAATCTATGAATCTCTGCTGAAGTGCCATGTTATTGACGAGACATTATCATGATGCTTTTTCTTACTCCCTATAGCTCAACTTCCTTGGACATATCTGTTAAATTAAACTAATTTGGTGATCCAGAGGGTCAATTATCATGAGGTTCCAGGGTGTTTCCACTTCTAATTTCCAAAAGAATTCTTATACTTATTAGCTTGAAAGTGATGTTAAAAGTATATGATTTTTCATTTTAAGAGGCTTTATTTCAATAAAACCTTTTAGTCCAAATTTTAAACTTCCAGATCAAATAATACATAGTCCAGAAATTTTACGTACTGCAATTTTTTGGTGATGTTTTATATTCTGTTTCCTCTGAACACATTTGAAACAGGGAAAAATTATGACACATTCCAAAAGTTGCGGAAGTTCAAAAAAGCTGAGATTATGCAAGCTATCAATAATTTCAGTATTCTAGGCTGGGCGCGGTGGCTCACGCCTGTAATCCCAGCACTTTGGGAGGCCAAGGCGGGCGAATCATGAGGTCAGGAGATCGAGACCATTCTGGCTAACACGGTGAAACCCCCGTCTCTACTAGAAATAAAAAAAAAAAAATTAGCCGGGCACGGTGGCGGCTGCCTGTAGTCCCAGCTACTCGGGAGGCTGAGGCAGGAGAATGGCGTGAACCTGGGAGGCGGAGCTTGCAGTGAGCCGAGATCTTGCCCTGCACTGCAGCCTGGGCGACAGAGTGAGACTCCGTCTCATTAAAAAAAATAAATAATTTCAATATTCTAATACTATTTTGTTCGACTTTTGACCAAAAATTCTAGTGCTTTATAAAGATTAACTTAGATACAATGTAAAGTCTATTTAACCTTAAAGGCTAATGTTCTGTTTTAGGGAAGCATTCTATCCTTTAGATTTTAACTATCTGCATTTACAGGAAAACAAATCGTAGACAATCATACAAAGTTAAAATCAAACTAACTTCAAGAGGAATAATGGTCTGTTGGTTTTCTGACATAGACTATATCAGTGATTGTATAAAATGGATAGTTTTTCTACTTTAAAAGTAGTGGTTGCCACAATATTTTATCCATTTGCCATACTGTATACGTATCTTCTCCTATATTAGATAAAGGTGATCAACATTTTCAACAACCATATTACTATCATTACTATCTCAAATCAGACAAGAGAAAACAGCATCAGTGCCAAAATGAAAGAACTCCAGTGACTCAACAAGTGACCATATCAGGGCAGGCAAAGTGAGGGTAGAGCTCATTTGGTTTCTTCAACTTCAGTATAATGAGGCTTAGACAAAGTCTTCAAACCAAAAATATATCAAGTATTACAGTTCATACATAGCAAAGTTTTCAGAAACAGAATCCTGTATTCAGATTTATATCAGATTGTAGAAGCTCAAGTGCAGACGTCCCAATGCAGTGGTTTAGTTGGTTAAATAAATGCTCGGTTACCTAAAGAAGGTCGGACTGAATCACCAACCTGCTACCATATGACTGCGTGACTAATTCAACTCTTGCAGCTACAGGGCACTGGAGAGTTCAAACATACTTCAGCAGCTTTGGATCACTTAATTTCATTTATGTTTTACCAGATAACTTTAGACCCTCCAAAATGATGCCTTTAAAAAAAAAGCTGTATATTACAAAAATAAAAAAAAACCCTAATATGATTTCATTAGGGGAAGGGGCAGAGTAGGAAGATAAGGGAAGGTTTGTTTATTTTTCATCACTGATTTCACCAGCAAATCTCAAAAACCCAAACCTACATCAAATAATTTAAACAGACGTGGCATTTTTTTCATATGGAATGCAAAATGCGTACATTCACATACTTACATATACATAAATATATACATATATGTTTCCTTTACAAAGTTTCAAAGGTTGCATTACCAGCATGCAAACCTCTTCTCCCATGGAAATTCCTAATACTGACAAGGAATGTCTAAAATACTTAGAGACATATTTCCAGAAAACTGGACGCTCTTCTCTTCTTAGCTCTTAGAGAATTTTCCTGCCAAACTTCTATCAATAATCATTTTTTAAAAATTTACACCCACATTGGTAATACACATTTGAAACATACTAATATAATAAAATGGCCAACTTGGATTTAAGAAAAATGAGGAAAAAAAAATCCCACAAAAAATCTAAACCCTTAGAGGGTGGAGTCTAGCTTTTTATATTCTTTTTCAGCCACATAATGTTGCATCACTGTTAAACAGAAGCAGCATATCATCCATGGTATTTGCAAATAATATGTGTCACGTTTCCCAGCTGCTATCTTTAAATGCAATTTGTACTAATCTGAGTTCTAGTTCAAAAGCATCTGGGCGATCCTGAGGGTTTGCAGCCAGCATTTCCTTAATCAGTTGTTTCATTCGCCCATTCATAGATTTTTTCTTCACAGGAATGAGAAGTTCCATTTTGGGATTTTCCAGAAGTGCCTCCCCAACAGGCACAATCTCAGTTCCTTGTTTTACGTAACTCCCCAAGAGTTCCTTCTTTGTCTCTGTGTCTATGAATGTGATCCTTTCCAGCATTGCCCAGATGATAATCCCCAGAGCAAAGATGTCAGCTTTTGCTGTGTAATGTCCTTCCCAAACTTCAGGAGCCATGTAAAAATCTGTTCCACATGCTGTGGAAAGGAAACACTTGTTTACACTGACAGGTTCTTCTGGGTTCTGCCCAGAGGCTGAACAAACTTTACTTAGACCAAAATCAGCCACTTTGAGTGTAGGTTCCAAGTCACTGGTATCCAACCTGGTTTGAGAAATCAGGATGTTATCAGGCTTAAGATCTCGGTGGATGATCTGGTTTTTATGCAAGAAAGCCAGGGCACTGCTCAGCTGAAGCATGAAGCTGGTGTTAGTTTTACGATTGGGTTTCCTGGACAACAGATACTCATTCATATCTCCTCCGTCACAAAAATCCATCACAAACCACAAATAATAGGCGCTTCTGGGATCAAAGGCAATTTCTCCTTTTAATGAAGTTTCTACAAGCTACAAGAAGGAAAAAAAAAGATTACAATCATTTGCATAGGTTATACAATTCAGTTATAGGAAAAGAATAATTTAAAGGTTAAGTCAGTCTCCACCTTTAAGTGGAAACTCTATTAATATTTAATCAGTGCTTTAATATATGCATTTTATTTTAAACTTTAAAAAATGCTTCAAACTGTCATTTTGTCCCTGATAAATATACACCAAAGCTCTAAACCAAGGGGTAAAAATTTTAAAATAGTTTTATTTTGAAAAGCGTCCAAGTGGCCACACATTTTCTCCATGTGTCAGTGGAGCTGAATTCTACCCACCTAGCTCATAGCTTCATGAAAAGACCAAAGTTTCAGCAGATAGACCTAGGAAATTGCCAGCTGGGGTATAAACCTCAATTAGGAAACTCTATTCAACGAAATCGCCTGAAATACACTTCTTACTCATTGCACATACACTGTCAACATAACCTGTGAAATCGAGAGAAAAATGATCAAGGAACAACTAGTTGTTGCAGAAATAGCTGTTCCTGTAGTCACTAATAAAGACTGACATCGTTACTTCATAAACTTCTACAGGCAGAATGCAAATATGTTGGCTCTTTCACTGGATGACTTTTAAAAACCAACTTATAAAAATCAAATATGCATTTTTAAAATTTTTAAATATTTTATTGTTTTGTTTTCAAATATGCATTTTGATATAAAAAATCAACTCTGAATTTGTATATTTCTTCTTTCATACAAGCTGAAACCCTAGACTAAATCACAGTTTTATTTGTTATTATTATCTAGTTACAACTCTCCTTTACTTGAAATTCAATAGAATTACTTCACTGGACATGAACTATCATTCTAAAACACAGTATATAGTCTTTTTTTTGAGACAGAGTCTTGCTCTGTCACCAGGCTGGAGTGCAACAGCGCAATTTCGGCTCACTGTAACCTCCGCCTCCTGGGTTCAAGAGATTCTCCTGCCTCGGCCTCCCAAGTAGCTGGGACTACATGTGTGTGTCACCATGCCCAGCTAACTTTTGTATTTTTAGTAGAGACAGGGTTTCACCATGTTGGCCAGGATGGTCTCAATCTCTTGACCTCATGATCCACCCACTTCGGCCTCCCAAAGTGCTGGGATTATAGGTGCGAGCCATGGCGCCCGGCCCCGTATATTGTCTTTTAAAAGCATTTGTTGTATGGTGTCTTTTTCAGACCCATGAGTTGAACAGAAAAGACCAAAGAGTTCCTGAAGAGTGAATGAATTGTTAATTTCACATTTAAATCTACTGATACTTCCTCTACCGTTTGGCCAAGCACAAGCAAAGAACATTCCTTCACGCCATCTCTCCATACAGCAGACAATAGTAATTGCAATGATCTGCAGTTATCTCTTTTGCATGAGTTTTCCTTGTTGCATGTGTTTGCCAGTGAGACAGAAAATGAAAGAATAGAAAGGTACAGATCACATAATTATTTACCAGGTGCACTGATACTAAACATGCTTTTCTTCTTCTGTCTTTACTCTCAAAAGCAAACTTCCTCAATAGCTTTGAGCAATGCCAAGTCCCAGCGTTCAAAGAATGTTTTAGAGTAAGGCCAGATAGTAAATATTTCAGGCCTGACAGCCACATAAGGTCTCTGTACTATATACTTTTTCCTTTCCTTTTTTTCCCCCACAAGTCTTAAAAAAAAATCTAAAAACTATTTTTAGCATTGAAAACCATATGAAAACAGGCCACAGGGCCTCTGGTTGAGAGCTATGGAAATGCAGCACCCAATCTGCTTATTTTAACATGTAGAGGATGTTAGCCATTGGTTTCTCTTGACTAAGGCCCTTCAATGGCTTCCCTGTTCTCTCAGGATATAGCCTAAGCTCTTTAACATGGGTTATGAGACCTTGTGCGCTCTGACTCCTGCTGTCCCCTTCTAACCCCATCTAAAACAACTCTCACTATCTTCTTTCAATTTTTTTTTTTTTTTTTAAGACAGAGTCTCACTCTGTCACCAGGCTGGAGTGCAGTGGCTTGATCTCAGCTCACCACAACCTCTGCTTCCCAGGTTCAAGAGACTCTCCTGCCTCAGCCTCCCAAGTAGCTGGGACTACAGGCATGCACCACTATGCCCAACTAATTTTTGAATTTTTTGTAGAGATGGGGTTTCACCATTGTGGCCAGGATGGTCTTGATCTCTTGACCTTGTGATCTGCCCCTAGGCCTCCCAAAGTGCTGGGATTACAGGTGTGAGCCACTGTGCCCAGCCTCTTCTTTCAATTTTTAAACACTTCATGCGTTTTGTTTCAAGACCTTTGTATGTACGGTTTTTTTCTGCCTAGGAAATTTTTCTCACTTATCTAGCTGACTCCTCTTCACACTACAAGTTTTAGACAATTATATATATATTTTGTGTGTGTGTGTGCAAGACAAGGTCTTGTTCTATTACACAGGTTGGAGTGCAGTGTCACAATCATGGCTCACTGCAGCCTCAGTCTCCCTGGCTCAAGTGATCCTCCTGCCTGAGCCTCCCAAGTAGCTAACACTAAAGGCACGCACCACCACACCCAGCTAACTTTTAAACTTTTTGTAGAGATAGGGTTTCACCATGTTGCCCAGGCTAATCTTGAACTTCTGGGCTCAAGTGATTCACCCACCTCAGCCTCTTAAAGTGCTGGGATTACAGGTGTAAGCCACTGCGCCCATCCAGCGATTCATAACTTTTGAGCCACAGGATTATGTAGGTTTCCCTGTTGTATGCATCCTGTACTTGTCATTCATGATATTTATCACAAGTACACAGACTGGCCACTAGGTTCGCATGAGATTGTAACCTCTGTTAATTGTTTTACATTTTCTTCTAGGTGAGGCTTTTGGCTATCAGGAACTGATTTAATGATTCTAACTGAGAACAAGGAAGAAGACATCTGGAAAAACATGGAGAAAAATTAAAATCTGTATGGAGAATACCATACATAGGGACTTTGTAGTCACACTACAGATTTGTTTGTCTTTACTAAATGTAAATATTGGTTATCTTTACTAGACGTAAATTTAGAGAAGGCACTTGCTAAATGTGTTGATGAATGTCTGGACAACTAAATAAATCCATAGAAAAGACAATTTTAATAGAGGTACCAATTACTGAGTACTTATATGTACCAAGTATTGTTTTTGCAACATCTCTAATTTTGACAACTCCTATACAAAGTAGATATTATTACCCTTTATCTTAAATATGAAGAAATAGATGCTAGGAAGAGTTGGGTTATTTATCCAAGGTCATTCAGCTAGGAAAACGTACCATAAGTGAAACACAAGTCCATTAGGCTTTAAAAGATGAAAGAGATTTACTAAGCAAAAAGGTGCTTTAGATATAAAAATCACTGAATCAAGTCTGGTAGGCCTTTACATCTTAAAACTTTATGAGCTAATGCCTAGCTACTATAACAATTGCTGGATCTGAACTCAGCACTAAATAATATGTTTGTTTGTTTATTTATTTATTTTTGAGACAGGGTCCCACTCTGTGACAACAGCTAGAGTGCAGTGGTGCGATCATGACTCGCTGCAGTCTTGAACTTCTGGACTCTAGCAATCCTCCTGCCTCGGCTTCCTGAGTAGCTGGGACTAAAGTGTGTGCCACCATGCTCAGCTAATAAATCTTTTGTTTAAATATCTTTGCTTTTCTGGTTCAAAATAGATCATGCCTCTCAGTCTCTAAAACTCAATGTAAAGTTCAGCAAGGTTCTATCCACCTGTTTTTTTTCTTTTTTTTTGAGACAGGGTGTCTGGCTGTCGCTGAGGCTAGAGTGCAGTGGCCCAATCTCGGCTCACTGTAACCTCTACCTCCAAGGCTCAAGTGATCCTCCCACCTCAGCCTCCCAAGGAGATAGGACCACAGGCGTGTGCCACCACACCCGGCTAACTTTTTGTATTTTTCGTAGAAATGGGGTTTTACCATGTTGCCCAGGCTGGTCTTGAACTCCTGGCCTCAAGTGATCTGCCTGCCTCAGCCTCCCAAAGTGCTGGGATTACAGGTGTGAGCCACCATGTTTTGCTTTCTATCCACTTTTTTTTTGTTTTTGTTTTGGAGATGGAGTCTCATTCTGTCACCCAGGCTGAAGTGCAGTGGCATGATCTTGGCTCACTGCAGTGTCCGCCTCCCGGTTCAAGCAATTCTCCTGCCTCAGTCTCCTGAATAGCTGGGACTACAGGCACACGCTGCCACGCCCCGGCTAATTTTTTGCATTTTAGTTTCACCGTGTTGCCGAGGCTGGTCTCAGACTCCTGAGCTCAGGCAGTCTGCCCGCCTCAGCCTCCCAAAGTGCTAGGATTGTAAGTGTGAGCCACTATGCCTGGCCTCTATCCACTTTTCAGAGAATATAGTAAGAAGGTTTCCAATATTTTCTATCAATTCAACTTACATAATAAGCACTTTTAGAAAAGCAATAAAATGAACAGAGGCTAAATAGTTATTTTTACTGTCATAAAACAGAAAACTGCAGGGCATTGGCTGGGCAAGGTGGCTCACACCTGTAATCCCACCACTTTGGGAGGCTGAAGCGGATGGATCACTTGAGGTGTGGAGTTCAAGACCAGCCTAGCCAACATGGTGAAACCCCGTCTATACTAAACACACAAAAATTAGCCGGACATGGTGACAGGCGCCTGGAGTCCCAACTAGTCAGGAGGTTGAGGCAGGAGAATCACTTGAACCTGGGAGGCGGAGGTTGCAATGAGCCGAGATCGCACCACTGCAATCCAGCTTGAGCGACAGAGCAAGACTCTGTCTCAAAATAAAAAATAAAAATAAAAATAAAAAAAAAAGAAAACTTCAGGGCACAGAGTGCTAAACTGCAATATAAATTCTCAAGACTAATATTGCTCATCATACAAGGAACCTTGCAAGTTTCTTAATACATGCATTCATGTATTTGTTTTCTTTGTTGTTCCTAGTCCAAAACTTTTGTTTTAAAAACAGAGGTTTTGTTTTGTTTTCAGACAGAATCTCACTCTGTCACCCAGGCTGCAGTGCAGTGGCATGATGTCAGCTCACTGCAACCTCTGCCTCCTGGGTTCAAGTGATCTTCCCACCTCAGCCTCCCAAGTAGCTGGGACTATAAGGTGCATGCCACCATGCCTGGTTAATTTTTGTACTCTTATTTTGTAGAGATGGGGTTTTGCTATGTTATCCAGGCTGGTCTTGAACTCCTGGGTTGAAGCTATCCTCCCGCTTCACCCTCCTAAAATGTTGGAATTAGAGGTGTAAGCCACCACACCTGGCCAAAAACAGACTTTTTCTTTCTTTTTTTTTTTTTTTGAGATGGAGTCTTGCTCTGTTCCATAGGCTGGAGTGCAGTGGTGCAATCTTGGTCCACTGCAACCTCTGCCTCCTGGATTTAAGAGATTCTCCTGCCTCAGCCTTCTGAGTAGTTAGGACTACAGTTGCATGTTATCATGCCAGGCTAATTTTTGTCATTTTTTAGTAGAGACAGACTTTTAAATGGTAAAAGTCTGATGGTAAATTCTGAATTTAGACACACTCAAAGAAAGTTTTCTTTTTCAAGAATAACTTTTTTTTTTTTTTTTTTGAGACAGAGTCTCACTCTGTCGCCCAGGCTGGAGTGCAGTGGCATGATCTCGGCTCACTGCAAGCTCTGCCTCCTGGGTTCACGCCATTCTCCTGCCTCAGCCTCCTGAGTAGCTGGGACTACAGGCACCCACCACCATGCCTGGCTAATTTTTTGTAAATTTTTTTTTTAGTAGAGACGGGGTTTCACTGTGTTAGCCAGGATGGTCTCAATCTCCTGACCTCGTAATCTACCCGCCTCGGCCTCCCAAAGTGCTGGGATTACAGGTGTGAGTCACCACGCCCGGCCAAGAATCACTAGCTTTAAGAAATTCTGCCCTAGTCTTTAAGAAGCTATGTCTTAATATATTTTCTATTCTTTGAGTATAGAGCTACTAGAGATTTCAATTTCTGGCAGAAGCCAACAAAAGAAAAACAGAAAAGCTTTTCCATTTCCTCAGGTTTACAGAAGAGTAATTTGGGAGTTAAGAAAGCATAAGCTTTAGCTGTCAGTCTTAGCTCCTGCTCCCAATTCTACCACTTACTATGTATGTGACTTTGGATAAATTCATTTATCTATACTAAGCCTCAGTTTCTTCATTTGTAATGAAAATAATAATAGTCCTTTCCTCACAGGATTTTTTTTTTTTTGAGGCGGAGTCTCGCTCTGTTGCCCAGGCTGGAGTGTGGTGGCGCAATCTTGGCTCACTGCAAGCTCCGCCTCCCAGGTTCACACCATTCTCCTGCCTCAGCCTCCCAAGAAGCTGGGACAACAGGAGCCTGCCACCACGCCCTAATTTTTTGTATTTTTAGTAGAGATGGGGTTTCACTGTGTTAGCCACGATGGTCTCGATCTCCTGACCTCGTGATCCGGCCACCTCAGCCTCCCAAAGTGCTGGGATTACAGGCGTAAGCCACCACGCCCGGTCCTCATTGGATTGTTTTGAGCAGTTGCTTTTAAAGCACTCAGCACAGAGCATGGAACTGAGGGCAAATTCAAATGTTAGCTGTGAGCACTGTTAATAACATTCAGGTGTTAAACCATGTACTTCACGAAAATTAACTGGAATTGCATGGTGAAGAAACCAAATATCCCTCTAAAACAGCAGAGACTTACATTCAAACCAGTGATTTATAAAAGAGATGCCCAGTTACCTAGGGGTGTTGCTACTGGTTGTGGAATTTTTCCTTTTCTTCTGTCCTCAAGTCCAAAATTATTGATTTCAAAGAAATGAAGTTATTAGACTGTAGTCTCAAGCACTTCTCTAGCTCCTGTCTTGCCCCATTCCTATGCAGACTGGCAAGTACCACTGCATAACAGGTGGCTTATGTTATTTTTAGGTACGTGCATCACAGGTTTAAATAAAACCTTGTTTTAAGCAAACATCTACTCAATTCTTGGCAGACACTTATCTATTTCTAACTACAAAACACCTGCATTTAAAGGGAAACGTTCTTCTGAGCCTTTCATTCCTCTTCTTGCTGACCAATGCCATGTTCAAATCATTTCTATTTCCCAATCAACAACACATACCTGTAAATAAAGGGAAGAATTAGAGCCGTGGGACATCTTTTGCACCATCCCATCCTTTTGTAGGATGCATTCCTCCAAGTGAATCACATTTGGATGTTGGCTCTTGATACTGCTTAGTGCCCAGAACTCACGAAGGGCTAGTTCAACATTTTCAGGTGCGTGACATCGAATTTTCTTCACTGCCACCCGTGCAGAGGTCTTTCTGATGATTGCTTCATACACAACACCGTAACTACCTCGGCCTACCTCCCGTATTAGATCGTACTTTGGCTGGCTACTCACCATCTTCAAGGTCGAGGTTTCTGGAAAAATCAACAAAGTGCTCTGTTGAAATTATGTGTACCTACTGGCTTGTATTTCTTCTTATGTATGATTTACTTGTCATCTGTCTGTCTGCAGTGCTTGAAGGATATTTGCTATACCTAGGAGAAATCTAATTTTAGGAATAGTAACAATAAAGCTAACAGGTATTTACCATATATCAGGAACTGTTTTAAGTTCTTTAGAATATTAAATTCAGTTAATCCTCATAATCATCTTATGAGGTGGATACTATTATGGTCTTTTTATAGATGAAACTATATAATGGAAAGGTTAAATGAAATGCCTAAGGTCAATAGCTAGTAACTGGTGGACCTGGGATTTGAAACACGGCCATCTGCCTCAGACGACCAAGATATGAAGCACTACTGTCTCTTATATGAACTGCTTGAAAATGTCACTGTTAAAAATACACCCCCAAAATTCAGCATTCTTATTTACTGATCAGGAAAAAACAGGCAAGCAAGCAAAATCCCAGCTTCTCCTTCTGGCTACCACACACATAATGGTCATAAAACAGCAAAAACAAAACCCCCTCACAGTTAGAAATACAAACACCTGGCTTATGCTTAAGGCCTGAAAGTGAACCAAATCATTTATAGAACTGAAAATGTTTTCTTTCGTAAAAGTGGCCAAACTCTATTTATATTTTAATTTTGTCTTTTATGTCATCTCTTTATTTCTTACAAAATAAATGAAAATAAAGTTTGTGGAAAAGAAACGATTTTTAAAAAATTTTTTAAATTATACTTTAAGTTCTAGGGTACATGTGCACAACGTGCAGGTTTGTTACATATGTATACATGTGCCATGTTGGTGTGCTGCACCCATTAACTCGTCATTTACATTAGGTATATCTCCTAACGCTATCCCTCCCCGTTCCCCCTCTTTTTTTTTTTTTTGAGACGGAGTCTCGCTCTGTCACCCAGGCTGGAGTGCAGTGGTCCGATCTCGGCTCATTCCAAGCCCCGCCTCCCGGGCTCACGCCATTCTCCTGCCTCAGCCTCCCGAGTAGCTGGGACCACAGGCACCCGCCACCACGCTCGGCTAATTTTTTTGTATTTTTTAGTAGAGACGGGGTTTCACGGTGTTAGCCAGAATGGTCTCGATCTCCTGACCTCGTGATCTGCCCGCCTCGGCCTCCCAAAGTGCTGGGATTACAGGCATGAGCCACCACACCCGGCCATTAATGTTTATTTAAAAATAAAATAAGCTACTTAGAATACAGTTACCTTTTTGTAGTCATTTAACAAGAGCTATTTTAAAATTTTTATGTTTCCTTTTTACTAATCATAAGAGAGCTGGAGTAAACAATATCTATTTAGTTCTAGGTCATTTCTGCCAACAAAGATCCGGCATATCAAGGGGCTCTCTGACAGAGTTCTTGGGAATTCAACTTAATGAACGGTTTAAAGGCGAGAGCAAAGGCCCTGCACAGAAACGCTGTGTTGAATGCAGAAAGTCTAAAGTGTGCTTCCTCACTCCCCAAACAATGTCTAGATTCTAACGAACTTCACGAACGAATTCTCGTTTGTAGATTGTGACCACGGGCAAGAAAAGTAACCTGAGATTGTACAATATTTATTCTGTACAGCTGGGGAAGCAAAAGGCTACTACTGACCCTAGAGCCTGAGAAGTTGGGATCCACTACTTTAAGTCCGTAGGATAGATTTAATAAAAAGAAATGACTTCTGAGATTGCTTTCAGTCCCACTTCCTCTAACTGGACACCCACCCTTCAAATCGCTACTGAATTTCCTAGTGTCTAATTTCCTGCCACAGAATCCTCTGCCCCGGCTGCACAGCAGACGAGCTTTCCTGCTCTACGGGGATCGCCAATCACATCCACTCAAGGTGGCTCGTGTCTCTGAAGCAGTCCCATGTCCTCTCCAGCCTGGTACGGTCCCCATGGGGAAGAGCACCCTCCTGAATAGGGAGGACAGGGGTGTTTATGAAACCCGTGGGATCCCGGATCAAATGATGCATTCGGTGCGAACCTAAGTGACTTTCGACCGAAAGTGGCGGGCCCTCGCTCCCACTGCTCTAACCAGGGGCTGGGACGCGGGCCGGCCAGGCCAGACACCTGCTGGCACCCGGGAACGGCTAGTCCCGGCCAGAGGTGGTGCCCGACGCGGCCACTCAGGCCGCGCTCATTGGCCAAGTGTCAGGCCCTCCCCCTCCTCGGCCGTGTTCAGATGAAGCCCGGAGGGGAGCCTCCCGAGCCCCTTTGCTCACAGAAGCCAGCCCAGCCGTTGCCTCAACTCCTCGGGGCTGGGGGCTGAGGGCCGGGGGGAGGTGGCCCCAGTGTGAGAGGAGGCCGCGGCTGGGGCCGGTGGCCTGAGGAGCGCGGGGCCTTCCCCGGGATGACTCCGCTGACAGGTCTGTGACAGGCGTCCCAGGGAGGGAGACACATGCAGGGCCGTCGGCTCTGCAGCAGGGCCTCTCCGCCACGCCGAAGGGCCAGATTTACCTCAGGGTAGACGCCGCCGCTTCTCCCTCTCATGGGCTCTGCAGGCCGCCATTATCGGGCAGCTCGCGCCTCCGCTGCCGCCGCCTCCAGTCAGCAGCCGGCGCGCGCCCCCGTGGTGCGCGCGGACACACCCCCTTACGCCGACGGCCCCGCCCCCCTCCGGCTTTCCGTAGCGCGAGCCGGGACGTTCCGCGCCACCGACGAAGCGCGCGGCCGGCGGTCCGCTCGCCTCCTCCCTCTCCCGAGGATTTGCAGAGCCCGGAGTCGTCGGAGGTGTGCGCGCTCCGGAGCGCACCACTGGTGCTGCTCCCCACAGGGGTGGCCGGGCCCTGGAACCGCGAGGCCACGCCACGCCGGGGCTCGGCCACCCTCCAGCTGCAGCGGGCGCTCAGGGCCCGCGGCCCCAGGGACGGTCTGCAGCGGCAGGTCCGGGCCTGGGGCTGCGCGCGCCCGGCCGCGGCCTCCCCTCCCCCTACCCGCCCCCCTTCCGACCTACCGAGCTGCGGGCTGGGGTGCGGGGCTCGCTGGGGTGGAACGCCCGGTGCATCTTCCGCGCGGGTCTCGGGCGCTTGCGGGGCGCGGTGCTCTTTGGCTGGCCCGCCGGGAGGTGCGGCCCGACCAAGGAGGCCTGGCGTCCGCCCCGCCGGGAGGGAGACTGCAGCTTTTGTCCGAGTCACTGAGCCATGTTTGCGGGCAGTGCAGTTACCGAGACGGCGGCGGCGGCGGCGGCGCGGGGCTGGGTGCGATCATCTGGGAGGACGCCGTCCCCTGCCCCGCCGGCGCGGTGGTATCTCCCTTAAAGAAGCCGGCGCCTCATTGTTCCCCGGCCGCGGCCGCAGGGAGCCAGGGCCACCTCCTCGGCGTGGGGAGTGAGGGGACAGCGGCGCCTGCACCTGGCTGCGGTGCCCGTGGCGCCCCCCGGAGGCTCCTGGTGGAGGGTTGGCCTGCAGTCGGCGCGCGGGAGAAGCCTCGGTATGAGCCAGGATCCACCGCGCTCCGGCCGCTCTCGGGGCGGGACAGTCAATAGGGCCCCGCCGCTGCCGCAGTCGCTCGGCCGCCACACGCTGTCAGTCAGATCCCTCACGCTGTCGGCCCCACAGCCAGCCCGGGGTCACTCAGGCCCGCATCTCTCAGTCATCCAGTTGTTAGATCAGTAAGCATCTGCCAGAAACGTCCATTCCTTCTTCCCCGATTTTTTTCTGCACCCATTATTTCTCAGCAGGGTGATGATTCCTCCTCCTTATATAGCGCTCGCTCTATAAGGCACGATGTACAAAGAATCCCTGTCGCTGTGCTCAAAGATCAACCCATTTTATTTTCTGCCCTCCATTTATTCCCCTTCTCCCGAGAGTCTGGCACTGGGTTAGGTCTTTATATAAATGATCTTGCTTAATCCTAACCAGACCCCACAAGGGGAGGTTTTATTATCCTGTTTTTACAGGTGAGGAAACACCTGCCTCTTTTCACTGAAGTGTCTGTTTTGGCATGTGTCTACCTTGAATACCCACTCCTAGTGTAACACCCCCTCCCCTTAAAAAAAAAAAACAAACTAAAAAACCCACAACGATTCTGTAATCTGTTAAGATTTTTGTCCTGAGTGCCATCCAAGTGTCAAGTCTTCAGCTGTTTGCTGGAAACACTGGTGTCAGCCAAGACTTACTTCCTGCCCTCAAAAGTAGAGGGAAAATATAGAAGGCTCTGCGAAGACAGCTAACTACCTGTGTGGGTTATTGATCCGAATCAGGGGAGGGACCTCTCTCAATCAAAGTAGCGTTTTCATTTTGTCTCAATCATTAAGTATCATAGGAACCCTTGCTCTCAAGTTGGCTGCAGATGAGATTTGAAATCCACTCTCACCCCCAATTTAGGCTCACAGTTAAGTCTGTGAGGTGGGTTTAGATCTTGTGGGGCCTGAAGCTTAAATGATTTGGGGTGTCCTCCTGAGAAAAGTTATAAAATGGCCCTGGGAACACATACCTGGAACATTGGAAAGGGTCCCTATAAGTAAAGGACTCTGAAGCTTAAGATTCATTAGCTTCAGGGTAAATGCTCCCCGTGCTTATTATGTTATGTCATTTTTTTTTTTTTTTTTTTGCCTGTAGGCCTCCTGGAGGACTGAGAATTCCTGGGGGCAGGAACCTTGTCTGTGATTGATCTCTGAAGCCTCCTCAATCTGATACGGTATCAAAATAAGGCTAGCATTCTCATACATGGCTGGTGGGAAGGCAAAGTGATACTGTTAACAAGGAAATTTGGCAATATGTAGCCATATTATTTGATCCAGTAGCCCTAGATCAAATACTAGATTTCGAGGAATCTAACCTAGTAATATACTGGCAAACACACAAAAAACCAACAAACCTGTATGTACAGGGCTATTCATTATGGCATTAATGAATAGCAAAAGATTGGAAACTGCTCATATGTCTAATGATAAAGAACTGGTTGAATAAGTTATAGTACATACACAGGATGAAGTACTATGCAGCCATGAAAAAGTATGTGGAAGAGGCCTGGCGTGGCTCGCACCTGTAATCCTAGCACTTTGGGAGGCCGAGGTGGGCAGATCACTTGAGCTCAGGAGTTCGAGACCAGCCTGGCCAACATGGTGAAACCCTGTCTCTACTCAAAATACAAAAATTAGGCGGGCGTGGTGGCACTGGCCTATAGTCCCAGCTACTTGGGAGGCTGAAGCAGGAGAATCTCTTGAACCTGGGAGGTGGAGGTTGCAGTGAGCCAAGGTCACGCCACTGCACTCCAGCTTGGGTGACAGAGCAAGACTGTCTCCAAAAAAAAAAACAAAAAAAAAAAACAGAGCAAGACTGTGTCTCAAAAAAAACACAAAAAACAAAAGATGTGGAAGATTTCTTATATATACTAATAAACATATACTAATATCAAGTGATCTCTATTAAGTGAAATAAGCAAAGTGCATACAGTGTTTATAGTATGCTATTACATGTGGGTAATGGAGAGATAAATACGCATTAAGTACTTATATTTAAAAGGTAGACAATGGAAGAATAAATCCCAAACTTCTACAAAAATAGTTGCTTATATGGGGTGGAGGGCATAGGGATGGGAATGAGACTTCTATGAATATACCTTTTATATAGTACAATTTTGGAACCTTATAAACATTTCACATGTTTGTAAGACAGTTCAATAAAATAAAGCACTCCATAAAAATTAAATAGAAACGAACTATGTAATGTCAGATTGGTGGTGTAACACAGAGAAAATAATTTCAAACGGCTTCTTAACTATTTTGATTTTTTTTTTTTTTAAGAGATGAGTTCAGGCTGGGTGAGGTGGCTCACGCCTGTAATCCCAGCACTTTGGGAGGACTAGGCGGGCAGATCATGAGGTCAGGAGATTGAGACCATCCTGGCTAACATGGTGAAACCCGTCTCTACTAAAAATACAAAAAATTAGCCGGGCGTGGCGGCGGGCGACTGTAGTTCCAGCTGCTGGGGAGGCTGAGGCAGGAGAATGGTGTGAACCCAGGAGGCGGAGCTTGCAGTGAAGCTGAGATCCCCCCACTGCACTCCAGCCTGGGCCACAGAGCGACACTCTCCATCTCAAAAAAATAAAGAGATGAGTTCTCATTCTGTCACCCAGGCTTGAGTGCAGTGGTGATTATAGTTCACTAACTTCCAACTCCTGGGCTCAAGGGATCTTCCCACCTTATCCTCCTGAGGAGCTGGGACTATAGGTATAGCTAATTTTAAAAATTTTCTTGTAGAGACAGCGTCTCACTGTGTTGCCCAGGCTGCTTGTAAACTCCTGACCTCAAGTGATCTTCCTTTGTCTCTCAAGGTGTTGGGATTACAGTCATGAGCCATCACACCCGTCCTTGATTGTACCTTTCTAGTGGGGTATAGTGTAAGGACAAATAAAACTGCATAGAAATACGATTGCATTCATTCGTCTTATTGCTAGTAGCAATATTGATGTTGCTATTTTGAAACTATGATATAAGAACAAACAAATAAGTAATTATGTCAATAGCATTAGGAACCAAGATTTTTCAGTGTATGAGAAAGTGTTTTAAGGAGAGAAGAAGCTTAGGATAAACTTAGATCTGAATTAGATAGCAGTATGTATTTTTTCTTTTCAAAAATGTATTTTCAGCCTGGCGTGGTGGCTCACGCCTGTAATCCCAGCACTTCAGGGAGGCTGAGGCTGGTGGATCACCTGAAGTCATGAGTTCCAGACCAGCCTGACCAACGTGGCAAAACCCCATCTCTACCAAAAATAGAAAGATTAGCTGGGCATGGTGGCGGGCACCTGTAGTCTCAGCTACTCAGGAGGCTGAGGCAGGAGAATTGCTTGAACCCAGCAGGTGGAGATTGCAGTGAGCTGAGATTGCGCCACTGCACTCCAGCATGGGCAACAGAGCAAGACTCCATCTCAAAAAAAAAAAAAAGAAAAAGTATTTTTTAGCTCTGTCTGCCGAAAAGGCCTAGAAGCAATGACCAACTCAGTGCACAGATTTAGTCTCTAAATACCATTTAGAGGAACCATGTTGGCCAGGCTGGTCACCCAGCCCTGGAACACCCCTAGTGCACAGATTCAGTCTCTAAATACCATTTTCCAGTTTTAAAAAAATTAAAAATAATTTAAAAGTCATTGACCAACCTTAAAATCACTAAAATGTTTTAAGGTTAGTGTCTATCAAACAACAGTCCTGGAATTGAGTCTTCTTGGACTTGATTGGCTAGGGGATAGAGGATTGGAGATAGGGTCCCTGGGCCCTTCCTCGACAAGCTCTCTGTGTCTTGAAGGATGGGACTTACTAATGGCCTTAAATCCAGAGGCTGTGGGGGCCACTAACAAATGTCTTGACATATACCTTCCCTAAAGAGTCAACTAGTGCCTGGCATGTGGTGGCACTTTGTTCATTAAGTCAACAGTGCTCTCCACAAAATATTCTTGCCGTTAAAAAAAAAAAAAAAAAAATGTCTGGGTTTGGTGGCTCACACCTGTAATCCCAAAAGTTTGGGAGGCCGAGGCAGTCAGATTACCTGAGGTCAGGAGTTCGAGACCAGCCTGGCCAACATGGTGAAACCCCATCTCTAATAAAAAAAAAAAATTAGCCAGGTGTGGTGGTGCATGCCTGTAGTCCCAGCTACTA